AATACTTTTGCAAGCCACTGTATGTCAATTAGGAATTACTTCCTTTCAGTGTACAACATTTTACATAAGGGACGCAGAATATGTTGACCCTTTTTGTGCCGCCAGTTTCAGCTGAGTGTAGCCATCATGACTTTGACCTTGCATTAAAGGCCAGCATATTTGTAAAGCAGTAAGCTCACAGAGAAACACAACTTATGCAGATTTCTTCTCAGTTCTTTTTTTAAAATTTCAGTTTCTTTGCTGACTGGGCTTCATTTCAGACTGCACTTGAGGCATGTTGCTGCTTTCAGTTGAGTGTTGACATTATTCATCTTGACCCTTATCTTAGTCAAAAGTGGAACAGCGTAGGCTAGACTTTGCAGACATCTGAGGTTACAGGGACTATATAAACCAACCTCAGTCATTGCACGTTTGCTCCGACATCTCAGTGTGACTGTGAACATATAACCTATAAGAAATAACTCATGTAGAGGGGGGGGTCTTGCTCTGTTTTTATAAAGGAAGTCTTCACCACAGTGCTTTTGCACAAACTGTTCTCTTAAATCTTCTCTGGTCACACTCTTGCAAGTCAAATTTTGCAGCGCATATGCTCACACACAAAGTCTTTTCAAGCAGAAATCTATTCTGCTTCATTTTACATTTAACTTAAGTCTAAGTGATTTAACTACTAAACACATAACTTTTAAAACAAACCACAAAGCTTTCACTCTATTTCTAGGTAAAATAGGTAGTAGGGATGTTTCATATCATTGGGGCAAGAATAAAAGCTACCTTAGGCTACAGAGTGTATTCTACTATTAGGTTCCTAAATTTGATTTCATTGTGCAAAATATAATTTAAAAAAATTTCAGGAAGTCAAAATTTACAATGAAGACATATCAAAATGTAATATAAATAAAAACACAACAAACTCAAAGTGAACTCACATACAGAACAAATAAATGCTGATGAGCCTTAAGTCAGCAGCAGCAGATTTCAACTGTTGGTGCTGAGCTATTTCATATATGTGTACACTAAAACATGTCCCATGTCTGGTTTTTTTTTACCTTTCATATGCTAGTAGTTAGTATGGCATATCTGTCATATCATAACTATACAAAAGATTCATGTCGTCTAGCTATTAAAACAGGAAACCTGTGCTACCGGCATGCACGATGCATGACAAAAGGTGTGAGCTGGTGGTAAACTGGCTTCGAATTGTGGTTGACATCATGGGAGGGAAATGTGTGGTCTCTATGACACAATTGCCAAGAAAGCAGCAATGTGCACTTATGTGGTAATCAATTGTGTACCTATTTCTAACCAGATGCTAAAGAACTTTATTATCAATATGAATGTCACGGTTCCATGACGCTGGTTACTACAAATCCCAGATGTGAAAGCGCTGGTCCGCACCGGTGGAGAAAATCTGAGAATTGTCAGGGTTTAAGGCCAAGTGAAGGACTCGATCAGAGTGACCTGGTTAAAAAAAGAAAAAGAAAAAAAAAATTATTTAAAAGAACTGAAAATCAGTTCTTGTTGTTGCTATAAGTAGTAAGAAAATGCCACATTAACAGGGAATTAATATTGAATTGTACTACCTTGATTATAATGCCTTTTTACATTTTTATGTTTTTTGATGGAATCACACATCAAAAACCAGGATTAGAAAGAAAAGTTGACAGACATCTTGGATTCAGGAGATAATGAAATAAAAGCAACGTGAAGTTAAACGGAAAAAATAGATAATACCAAAAACTAAACAATATAAGCACTCTGTTCCAAACCTCACTTCGCACATATTTGTCTGTGATTCAAACAAGCATCTCATTCAGTAACAACTTCTCCTTGTTTGCCAGTACAACTGAGTCAATCAGAGCCTTATTGGCAAAAATGAGAAGGGGGACTTTATGACTGTGGAAAATGGTGACTAAAAATCTGCCTACAGAATAACGGCCTGCATTGGTGCAACTCAATGGGAGCTACACTATTTTGTTTTTGTTTGTTTTTTTCCATTATGAAAACAAGTCAATTTCCCTATCTTATCATAACCAGTATTCCTATGGGAATAGGACTTTACCACAAGGGTTGATATCAGTAATTACACTTCTGAAAAATAGCGCAGAATGACCGTCAAGTTTTCATTTAAAATATAAAAGTACAAAAAAACTTAAATTAAAAAAAGTTAATTTTGAAAATTACTTGATCATTTTTTTTATTAAGTAAAATTATTCAATATTACATATTAGTGGGTTTTCAGTAAAAGTGTCTTTTGCATTCAGTGCTTGGTTTGAGCCCCCCTGACCAGAAAAAACAGGAATTTAGCATTTCTGTTAGCGGTTTATTTCTCATTTTTTCCCCCCTTAAGCCGTAAGTATTGGTTTTCTAACACCAGCTCACAATACTACAGGACAGTGAGACAGCTCATATTAAAACTAGCAACCTTAGTTTCATATTCACTAGAGGGAAGCCCAGAACACGAATCACTCAGCACACGATGGCCATTAAAGACATTAGTGGTAGGTGACAGAGCTGCTGCACTGACAACAACTGCTTCTGTGAGAATATTACTCACTGTGTTATTGACGCAACAACATTTGTTCCTATGAGTGTGTTGTCAATGTGTTGAGACTAAGTTGAGATCGTATCAGACAGCAGTGCTGATACAATTTAACGTTGCATTAAACAGAATTATTTACTTTATTAATAAAAAGGTTATAGTAATGTAGAACAGCCTTGTGTGTTTTTTGGTTTTCTAACCTGTGAACTGGTAAATGGGGCTGAGAGAGTGAAACTCCCACACCCAAGATGTGACTTTGTGATGAGGTAGGCCATGACCTGTAACCAGATATCTCTTCTTTTCAGCCCATTGTAGAGAACAGATCTGCAAATGAGGGTAAATAGTAATAGTTTATCCAGCATTTTTAAATACAGCAAAACAAAAATATCCACAATACTGTAATTCTCAAGCACCTGTGAATTTGTTTGCACAGAAGTAACACAAGATGCTGATTGGGTGTCCCAGATTCTCAGCTCACCATCTTTCCATCCCCCTCCTGTAGCAATAATGTTTCCCTGCCATGGGCACCACCCCATTGCCTAACAAAATAACACACACAAAGGTGGATACATTAACAGCATTTTTAAATCTCTGTTTACTAACCCAAAATCCTTACACATTAAAACCTTAGCCTCTTATTCACATTTAACTGCTTTGACGTCTGCTCAAACTCTGTAACTCTGGCTGTGTCAGCCTTTAAAAATGCCAAACAGTTTACTTTTAGCCTCCAAATCCAAGTACACAGACCTTCACAGCACTGGGCTGCTTCACTGTCATTATTGGCTGACTTGACATTTTTTTTCCCATGATGTCATCATCCCAGATATGGAGAAGGCCTTCTGTGGAGCCGCTGGCCAGCCATTTGCCTCCTGGTGACCACTGCAGACTGCAGACCCCCTCCCTCTGGGTGGTTGCACCTACCAGAGGTGTGAAAGCCCGTGGGTCAAGGTGACAGATATGTCCAAGAACAGATCCACTGTCAGAAAAAACACTGCTTTTATGGACACTTTTATTGATTAAGTGTCTCCTACCCTGTCCGTGACTAATTCATCTACATTTCTTCTATTAAAGAGATAAAGCTGTATGCCTTTAGCTCTTATCCTAAGCCTATCTATCCTATTTATTCATTCATTTATTTAGCATAATTTCCAAATTGGTCAATCTTTTCCATTTCATTATTAAGCAGCACCTTCTTTAAATACCAGAACAAACCAAATGGGTACCTGCTAAGTAACTGCTGTTTCCAGGAAAGCGCTCTCACCACAGCCAGGTGTGACAGCAGAAACCTCATGTTCTGCTTGTGTTCGACATCCCACAACTAAAGAGTCAAAGAGAGACAAAGACACCACAAACAGTCATCCTGCTGATTCAGTAAATATGACACTTCCCTTCTCACAGAGCCCCCCCATACCACATTTGGTTTGAATAAGTTTCCAACCTCTATGAGCTCATTTACCTGTATCTCCCCTCGTCTAGTCGCGATACTGAGGGCTCTTCCATCTGTGCTCCAGCACAGAGACGAGACCGACTGACGATATCGGCATCCTGATTGTGGACTCAGGTCCAGATGTCCAACCAGACCACGAGTTTCTGAATTCCAAATGTAAACTGAAGAGCCGAGTCCTAATGCAACCATGCCACTACAGCTGCAGTCGAGAAGGTTAGTGTCTGAAATGACAAAGTTGCAAAAACAAAGGACTACAGAGGACTATATCGTAGGCATAAATTATTGATGAACAGGATGAGCCTTAATTATAAACTTTTTTTTTTTTTTAAATCTGTTTTATCCACCAAAGTGTTTTCAGTAAGTATTTTTCAGAAAAAAAAACCAAGTAGCAGATGTTCCAGGTTGTATTTTTGTTGCCCATATGGCTATTTAAAATAATGAAATTTCACCACCACACCCCAACACAACCACCATCATTCGTCAAACATGATGGAAATGTTATAGCACGTAGATGTACAACTTCTTAATGGCCCAATACTGATAGAAGAAGAAGTGTCACCTGATCCTAATCCAGAACAGCATGCTTATCAGTTTTAAATGCAAATAAGCCCACAAATAAGCACCAACCAACAGTGGTGAAGTAAAGGCCCAGCAGAGCATCTCAAGGGAGGAAGCACCACCTTTAATCATGTCCATGCATTCTAGACTTCAGGCAGAATTAATGCAATGCAAAGGATTATTAGTTTGTTCAATTACTTCTGACCCTTTAAAAATTAGATTATTTATAACAGTGACTATAATTCCTAAACAGCAAAGCATTATTAACCCCAATGAATTTAAGATGAAAACTACATTTCAGCCACATTTGGATTGTTTTACAGTCTACTGTGGTGTCTGTGAAGGTTCTCAGTCACCCAGGTCATTGTAGTCTAAGGAGCTTGGAAAGAAACATCTACTGTGGTGGTATACAGAAGCAAAAAAACAGTATTTGTAAAAGTCATTTAGGGCTTCATTTTCTCTTACAGTAATCATTCAGCAGTGATGGTGCACCCAACTTAACCACTGACTTCCCGTGCAGGCTCAGAGTGGCTTTGTTCAGAGTGGCAAATGGCTGAAGATCATATTTTCTTTCATCATAACCTTCAATGATAAAATATAATTTAAAAGATATTGTTACAAAACATACATTGTACATCTGCTGTTAATCCATTAATTTTCAAACACTTTCTTTGTTGTGTTGTGTTTTTGACATGAATCAATAGTTGCAGCAAGCATCCACATTGATGTGCATTAAGCACTCGTTGCATTAAACTAGAATGTGTTGAAACTAGTGATGACTGCTAAAGTGCCTGAATGTGAATAAAGTGTCAAGAGAATTTAACACGTGATTTCTTTCAAACTTTTCTTCCTTATTGCTATTCCAGATGTCATCTTTGTTGTCTTTGTATGCTACCAAATTTCTCCAGACTTCAAAAACTGGTGTGCAGTCTGATAAAGTAAACCTATAATTACATCATCCAGCATTCAAAAAACAAAGCGAAAAAAAAACTGCAGCGTGATCAAGGTATGTATTTGGGTTCCCCAGTATGACATCATGTAGTATCAGTCCAGAGATCATTCACACAATTATTCATACACAGCAAAATCTCCAGTGTTAATTTAACACTGGAGATTTTGCTGTGTAGAAACATGATCTACCTGAGCGATTGAGATTTTCAGGTTCTTGAACTGCAGGTCTCCATACCCATCGCTGTAAAACAAAAACAAAAAGGGGAAAAGAATTATTACTATTCAGGTTTCAAAAATATCTAAAATTAGCATATCATTGAAAGTTAGCATTAGCAATATATGCAGATTTACTTTTTTGTATGCTTTATACATCGATCTATTGCAGGGCCATAACACAAGACAAGAAAAAGTATTCACAGTTAAAATCAATTCAGAATAACCAATCACCCACTGCATGTCTTTGGACTTCACAGAGAAAGGCCCCAGACTCTACATAAACCCAGGACCTTCATCCTGTGAGGCAGATGAGCTAGCCACCACACCACCATCTCTGATAGGATAATAACATTTTATTATTCTTATATCAAACTGATTGTGTTCTTTTATTTTATTTCACTTCGAGCAACTTTTGGAAACCACACACATACAAAACTTTCTGACTTTTTTCACTTTTAAATGAAAACTTCTATGTTCGTGTATGAGACGATGACTTGCAGAAGTCAGTTTAGCATCCCCCTCAAACTATTGCATCACAACCACACACAGACACAAACGAGGAAGTGCAGCTTCCTTAAACAAACCTCTTGTGGGGCATTTTCTGCAGCAGGCCGTGTCTTTGCAGCGATCGTGCACTCTGTGTTCACCAACTTAACAGACTCAGAGTGAGACGAGCCTCCCGCCAGTGCTGCCTCTGGTGAAATCAAATGACATCATAGAAAACGTCCAACAGCTCTCAGGTAAAAATGTACTGTGTCAGTATGATGATACACCTGGCGAAGATTAAAAAGAATGAATATTGTTTCTAGATATGGGCCTAGGGGAGTGCATGCCCGTGCATTTTAAAATCAGCAGTGTCATATAAGAACAGTGTTACCCAGCTGAATCATAAATATGCTGTTCAAGTGCAACACCAACAGCTTGGGTACAGTCCCCAGTGGTGACTAGGGTCTTCATGTGGCAGGATAAAGTTGGTTGGAGTTTTTTAAACCAAAATATTTATCCAAATTACACAAACATTGTTGCATTTTTATGACATACACATTATGCTTTAAATCCTGAATCAGTCGTTTTCCCCCTCTTCTAAAAATCAGTCGTTTAAAACCTGACTTCGGGTCATTTTTGAGTTTAATCACACTTTTAATGACCTAACTTATGTGAATATGCCTGGCATCAGTATTGCATTATTATTATTACTGAACTTCTGTGTGTTGTTTAATACCTTGGATTTTTCCTGGTAGGACTCCCTGTCCCGGTTCATGCTTTCTCGGTGGAGAATCGAGCTCCAGCCTCTGACAGATGGTATCAAACTCGAAGCTTGGCTCACACTGCCGCCCAGGGGCCAGTGGGGTACTTGCAACAGGGCTTTCTCTGCAGCGCCTCTGGATGATCCGCCTCCTGAAGCATTTGTATGTGACTTCATGGGCCTCGTATTGTCCCTGAGCAGACAAATAACAATTGTTTTTTTTTAATACCATCTCAAAATAAGGTTATTTAAAATGTACTAAACAGTAACTTTATATCATTAGAAACTAATCTATTAAGAGCCTAACTTCCTCTTAATTTTTTGAAACCTTTCATAGCAGATGAAGATTCTGTAGTTATTTAAATGCTTTACAGTGATTACTGAGGAAACCACTGGAAAGTTTGGTTAAGTGTTTGCTGAGGTTCCTCTAGTGCTAATAATCTGCACTGAGCATTCAGGCATGTTTATTATTGTTATGATGATATTATTATTATTATTATTATTATTATTATTATAAGTTCCCGATTTCTGTTTTTAATGTTTTCCAACATTAAAAACAAGTGATATAGACATCAGTCTCAATATTAATTCCGTCTTATGCTTTTTATATTGAACACACCTAACAAAACTAAAACATAAGGCATTGTTTGTTTTGTTTTGTTTTGTTTAAAAAAAAAATATTTTCAGCTGACCCTGTAGTCGGCCTATATAGGATTCTGTAGTGTAGCTGAAAGTCGAGTATTTACATGTAAAGTTCACTTATTATTAGTTTTATTTTGCTGCTGAGTTTCCGGTATAGTCGCTTTCACCGTTTCTCCGTCCAGCTTAACGCGACTATTTCCTCTGATCCGCCCCAGAACTTCTGGAAGGAGAGCCCCAGTTCAAGCTACGGTTTGCTCTTTCCCCTCCAAGATGGAGGCTTTGGGAGGTTATCCTACCAGGTCCTCCAACCCAAAAGCGAAAAAGTTAACTGTGCTGTTTAGCATGACGGTGGGTGTGGGGTGTTTATTTCTTCTGCAGACCCAGCTGGTGAAACCCAGAAAACCGAAGGATTTTTATTCTTTCGAGGTGAAGGACGCGAAGGGCAGGACGGTTTCTCTGGAGAAGTACCGAGGAAAAGTATGTCCACATCATCAGCCGTCGTTTCAGACTGAGAATAAACCCGTTTAACTGTTTAACTTTCCCCGTGTCAGTTTGGACTTGATTTATTTGCAGAGTGCGTATTTTTAAGAGCTTTTTAAAATAACTGCACTGCTCCTAATCCCCTCCTTTGCAGGCGTCCTTAGTTGTAAACGTGGCGAGTTACTGCCAGCAGACGGAGGCGAACTACAAGTCTCTACAGGAGCTCCACCGGGAGCTGGGCACCTCTCACTTCAACGTCCTGGCCTTCCCCTGCGGACAGTTCGGGGATACAGAGACCGGAACCAGCCGGGACATCGAGGCTTTCGCCAAGTCAGCCTACGGCGTTACCTTTCCTTTCTTCAGCAAGATCAAAATAATGGGATCAGAGGCTGACCCTGCTTTCAAATTCCTCACAGGTTGGGAGAAAGACTTTTAACGAATATCATGACTGTGGGATCACTGAGTGAGATCACAGAAACGCTGATTACATATTTATACCTGCTCCAAGTGCAGGATGTATTTAAGGATGGAAGGAAGTCAAATTTGGAGCTGTCACCAAACCTCAAATACTTAACAATTGGTCTCACCTGTATTCCAGGTACAAGTGTTGATAGTCTAAAACCAAACTAGATTAGGCAAAGCCTACTTTTACTTCATCTGAGAGGAAAATAATCTGTTACTGTTGTAAAATGTGAAGCTGAACGTAAAGTTTTGTATTTTTCAATCACCCCAGGGTAATTTAATGAGTTTTTATGAACATGATGCACCTGAAAGAAGACCTGCAGAACAAGTCTATGAACTCCAGAGGTAACTGGAATATAAAGTATGGTTCTGATCTATTCTGTGATTACAAGACTTGATGGTATAAAATTTAATCAATTCAGTGTCATATCTGCTAAGTAGCAACTTCATTTATGTTTGTAAAGCAGCAGAACTGACATTCTGCTCCATGCATTAGAATCTGTTTTTATTAATTAGCTGTATTTTTACAGTTACAGTTAATATTATTAATATACAGTAACACAACAGTCGTGGTGAGCTATAATGATTAGCAGTAGCCAAGGGGAATTTATCATTTGAATGAATGCTATTACAGCATATGAACATAAGTATGCACATTTGAGTTTTTTAGTATTAGGTTTTCACTTGATTTTCAGTTACAACACATACATTTTTCACTGCACTATCAAATTATATAATATTGAAATGATACTATAGGCTTGTGTAGGTATTTTCTTTTATTCTTATTTTATTTATTTAATATAATTTTTTTTATGCATGTATTATTTTGATTTGATAGTGTCCACTTCTGTTAGGAAGTAACTTTTTCTGTCGTCGTGGTACTCTGCTATTAAGTTATTAAATTAAGGCATTTGGTATTTTAGCATCCTGTAATCTACCTAACTGTCAGTGTTTTTAAGCATATTTTAGACCCTGATGTGTCTGTCTCTGTTTTATCCTGGTTTTACCTTTGAGGAACATTTTTTGTCTTCAGTGTGTAATAGTTTGTTTCACTATATGGAAACTGAATTACTTGTTGCTGCCCATCTTGGGCAAACAACTTTAAAGATTGCTTAAAAATAAGATAAATTAAAAAGAAAGAAAGAAATGTAGCATTAACGACTGTTCTGCGACATCTTGTTTGTTTTTCAGATTCTGTGAAGAAAATTCCAAAGTGGAACTTCTGGAAGTTTCTGGTGAACCCAGAAGGGAAGGTGGTTCGATTCTGGCGAACAGACGAGCCCATGGAAAGCATCAGAGAAGAGGTCACAGCGATGGTGCGGGAAATCATCCTAAAGAAACGAGTGGAGCTATGATGGCCCCTAGTGATCGGTACTGGACATAGCACTGCTTTATGTCTGTGTTTCCTGAGCTGTGGCAGCCAGGAAGGACTGAACTGTTGACAGTGAGTGTTGCTTGGAGAGGGTTGTCGTTCCAGAAAGATGCAAGATGAAAATATCAGGCAATCACTGTGATGCAATGCAAGTCAGAGTGTGTGTGCGTGTGTGTAAATGAGTGTATGTGGGGGTGTTTATCCTGTGGTCAGTGATGAGCATTTCTTAAAATGACTTTAGCTTTTCAGTTGCTGGCATTTTGAAATGTTCAGCTTTCCTTCTTTTCATCTCTCCAGTGTTTACATTAAAATCTTTTTTAAGAGGAAGCAAATTAATTGAGCCTGATTTGACTGATTTGAGCCCAGCAAACTGTGCAGCATCTATCAAACAATAAAAAGCTCTCATAAGTATTTGTTTTAACTAATGACTTTAAGATTTTTCATTTAGATGTCCTGTGTTGTGGGTATCAAGCGTCTTTCTTAACTGAATAATTAAATCACATTACAAATTACCTGCTAATGTTAATGCATTGATATTAAGGCCATCTCCTTAAATATGGTGCTGTAGTTGATTTTTCTGAATATTTATGGCTATGAAAAAATAATATAAAATAGACAATAGAATCAATGAATCGCATCTTAGTACTGATAGCAGTGAAGGGTGACTACAGACATCACTGTTGGTGTGGATTAAATGGACAGTTGGAGGGCAGCAGCAGGTGAGCTGGCACAGGAAGAAACTACCAGCTAACAAGACACTGCCTTCCAGCCACCCACAATTCAACTTCACCTTCTGTCCTTATAATAAAAAAAATGATATTTTCTTTGCAGAGTTTGCAAACATTTAAAAGTCATATTGAATGGCTTTTGAGCCATTAGTGTGACCCACAGTGAAATGTAACTGTTAAAGTAGCAGAGCAGTGTGAGCTGGCTGAAGAAACGTCAGCTAACATTACACTGCCACCCAACCAGTCACAACACATCTGTCCATGTAAATGCAAATGCGTGGATTTGACTGCTGTACCGACGTCCAGCTGCTCATTTATCAGTATGCAAAATGTAGAATTGTCTCCCAGCTTTACTCTCGGCTGACTTCTTATTATATACTATAATATAATAAGAAGCGGGTTACGTGGCAGTGTCGGCAAACATGTTTCAGGTGAGTTGACAGTAGCAGTGAGGAGTGCAGCTGACAGCTGTCAGTCAAATAGCACAGCCAGCAGCAGTACACTGCCGCACTGACACTGCAAGATCAGCAGAAAGAGGAAGGAGGCACCCAACAAATGAAGCGGGAACATTTCTGATTATTTTAATGCCAGTTTCACTTTAGTTCCCCCTCTTACCTTGAAGGGAAAGTGCCGCTTTCCTGTAAAATCTCGCAACATCCTCCTCCTGATCATAAAAACAAAAACACCACAAGCTCAGCTCATCATCACGTGAAACTAGTTTCTAACATCTTAGTCTGTGCTTTCAAAGAGTTATTCACCAAGGTGAGGACTATTTCAAGTATGCTGCAATTAATATAAGTGACTGTGTGTTTTGGGTTTTTGTTTGTTTTTTCTACACCACTATACGTAGCACATGCTGTGGTTAGAAGAACCCAAATAGGAAGAGTCCCTGTGTTTAGTGTTTGAGTTGCCTGGTAGCAGCAACAGCAACCGATCCTAAGTAACATATAACATGTCTTGACTGCTCTACTGAGGCTATTTTAATTGCCCGCAACTATGTTATAACTTACTTACCCATCTGCGTGAATCTTCACTCCAGCGTTTCAGGCGCATCTTCCATTTCCTTCATTTAAGCATGCCCCAGTCCCCACTATCTCAGTCCTCCCTATCTCAGCCCAAGTGAGGACACTGACCGGTCATGCCTGGTGCACCTGTTGTCTCCTTTCCTATATACTCTCACTGGGCGGACGCCGGAGCGGGAAGCAAAGTCCTCTGCTGTGCTATTGGCAGTTAGGTCCATTTCCCCCCTGTTTTTAATTAAGCGGCCTATAGACTCGCTCCTATTCAGGGATTCCCTTCGCGTCCTGGTTTCTAATGGAAACAAACAGACAAAGAAAGAAAAAGAAAAGAACAACGCGGTAATGTTATAAAGGTGGAGGTGGCTGCGTGTTATCAGTTGATGTCCTAACTTAGACAAGGACAAACTACTTCACGTTTATTTCTTTAGGGTGGTGTCAGTTTGCACACTTAATCACATGGTTTACAGATGCAGGCTTATATTCAGCTTGTTATGTCGCTGAAGAAAGCATAATTTTAAATATAAAGGCTAATGATGATTATCGGCTAGTTACATTAGGAAAGAGGTAGGATCGTGCAGATTGGCACCTTTAAAGCACACGAAAATGTATTGTAAGTAAATCATAAATTACAAATCCTGAAAACATGCCAAAACGAGAACTGAGACCGAATAGCCTTAAATATTTAGCATGTTAAGAAATACAATTATTATTATTTATATATTTATTTATTGCTAAATTGTAGGCCTAATAAGTTGTTTTAGATGTTTGGAAGTGAATTCAAACATCAGCAAATTTTGACAACACATACTAATAAACACTCCGCAAACTGCAGATTTTACTGATTGGATTTAATGCGTTGTCATAAACCTGTAACAGCTCCTCTGGTGGGCAATCAGTGGCCGTGTTTTGCGGGTAAAGGCCCTGTATCCGCGGGCCACACCGTTTAATGAGGAGCTGCTCTGGCGCTAAGTGGGCCGAACGGCGCGAGAGCACGCACGTTCTTGCCACCTGCCACTTCCATATGCGCTCGCACCTCGAGTGCGAGCCCGGGACAGTGCGCCAGGTGCTCCATCGGGCTGTCTATAGAGTCCAAATGATAGACATAAAAGGTTAAGCTCTCAAGATAACCCACAGTAACCTTTAATTTATCATCACGTCCAACAGAAACAACAACAACAAACGGCTCAGTGTTTGTTATTTTTACTTTTAACCTGGAAAATTCACAAATCTGTGGCAGAGCAAACAAAATTACCACATAGCACTATAATCTAAATCCATCCAGTTCTCATTCATAAAATAAAAATGGTTAAACTAGTTTGGTTTTGTTTTTTCATCAGTATAAAATGTATCAAATTTAAACAGCTGGCATTTTCATGTAATATTTTATTTAGCCAGTTCATTTAAGTTTTTTAAATGAGTTAAATGTGAATTAGCTTTCATTTGCCCAGAACCTTACACGTCTGTATCCCACCACAGGAACAATACGTATTTTTCCCGCTGGACTCCGTCGGGCTTGCAGCCTCTCTCCAGGTTTGAGTTTAGTCACCTTAGAAACGCATTGTGTCTGTATTTTCCTTTCTCCTCCCGCATTGTTCCCCGCAGTTTGGCGGTAGCTTAACAGGTCAAAAGTGTCACAGCCAGCTTATACAATGCTTTGCCCTGTGCCATGCTCTCACCAGCGGTGCTGGTCAGATACAAAAGCATTTGTTTGCTGTAAAAGTGGCTCAAGGCCCGGCTGGATGTCGAGCTCAGCACACGTGCAGATGTTTTCTATAATAAAGTGGCTGAAATTTGACATTAAGCATCAGATTGTGGCCAAGGTTGGCCAGAATGTAACAAGGGAAGTAGGATGGTTTAACTAGATAATTATTATTGGGCTATCTGCATCTATTTAGAAGCAGCTGGACAGGTCAGATGTAAGAATCTGCCACACCTCACTCTCCTCATCATTAAGTTTCTTCTTGAAAGTTAAGCACCACATTTCTTTTGCAATGACTAAATTGATTTAAAAAGTTTCTCTGTAATGCAAAGCCAGTTTAAAGCTGGATTTTAAAAAAACACATCAGTCAAGTGGTCTTTAAGTATAAATTTGCTATGAGTTATTTATCGGTTAAATGCACCTCAACTTCCCTTGGTGGTGTAACTTTCCATGGTCTTTAAATAAATAGTCAGGCCTGTGTTAATCAGTTCTCCATCTCGCTATCAGGTTCTTCTTATCTGCACTTGCTGTGTTAAATGCGGTGTTCATGACAGCAGGAGTGTCAGTACTGTAAACTGTCCCCAGTCAAGGGTCTGCACTGTTGCCTTCACTGCTGTAAAACAAACAGGCCCTGGTTGTGGAAGTTTAGACAGGTGCCTGACCTGAGATTGTCCAAATGTCTTATGTACCAGCCAGGTTCTTACAGCTAAAGATTTCAACAGTGAGGTGGAAGAAAGATTTTCAAAGGTCAGAAGGTAACATCCTCTTTAGATAAGTTAATCTCTTCTTCTTGGTTTAATTTCCTTTTTGTTTTGTTTTTGCCTGGTTTATGGTGGTTTGGGTTTGTTTTTTGTGTGTTAAATCCGATTTTTTGTTTGTTTGCTTTTTTAGATAGATGACACAGCTAAAGTCTTTCCCTCTGGGTATACTGTTTATACAACTATTGTGTTAGCAGTCAGGTTCATAAGAGTGATAAGTCAGGAAATACAGCCCCCAAAAAAGAGAGAATCTGTTTACATTTCCAAAAAGGATATAAACAAGGATGTTGGCTGCACTACATCAATGCTCTGTCCACTCTTTCAGGCCACACAGTCACTCAGACAGAGACAAAGCCCCTGCTTCTTAAAGCAGGTCATAGGATTACATTTGTTTCACTGCTCAAACAAGGAAAGTTCACAGTTTATTTCCATTTGCCTAATTATCACCTAAGCTCCCTTATCATCTTAAAAAAACCCAAAAAACTTGAGTCAGCTACATGAAAATGTACACATTGTTTTACACTTTTAAAAACATTTTTATTTCCAAATATGTAAAATCACTGGCATTTTCCAGGACAACAAATATATAGCGAGATGCAAACATAAACAAATATTAAACTATGTAAACTAAAACGCAATGTAAACAACAGCTTGGGCAGTTTAATTTCCTTTGTTAAGCACCTCTTCTCTGAATGATTAGCTTTCAAGCTACCTGAGGAAGACATCACTGAATCACTTACAGATATCACTATAGATTATAAGTTAAGCATTATCAGTTGCAGCCCACACATACACTTCTGTCCACCCAACAGAATTAGGGCATCTGCATATGACTAATCAGAGCCACATAACAACTCCAGCTTTATTTGCTAATCTCTCATTTCAGCTTTGTTTGGGAACCCAGCGAAAGCGGTATCCTCCTTGCTGAGTCCTTGAGGTAAAGGCATGTCCGTGAGGAAAGACCTGAGTTCTTATAGTGCTGTGTTCTCTGACAGAGGTCCTAAAAGATGAGACACTCTCTCCAGCTTCTGCTGCATCCACAGTCATGTTGCTGTCTTTAGCTATGGATGTCTGCAGGCCTGAGAATGCACCATACATGGATATTGTCTTTGATTCCTGTTGCAGCCTTGTTTCTGTAGAGCTGCTGTGAAGTACAGCATTGCAGCGTGTGCTAATATCCCTCAACATGTCCTCCACTGAGTCAGAGGATTCAGTTTCATATCCTTCATCCAGTCGCTGGCGCTTACAAGGACTCAGTGAGGTTTTATCACCACCATAAGGCATTACTGGTTCTTTTACATTTGAGTCTCTGACTGTCATCAATTTCTGAAAGAAAATGATCCAAATTAAAGACTAAAAAGTTTAAAGATTAAAAAGTTTGAAACACAATTTATGACAATACAACCAAGAGGTTACATCATATACATGATAAATACTGATTTGACTTCTCACAGTTCTGAACTTACTTCAAGCACAGAGGCTAGGTGCTTTGCTCGATTAGCCAGCTGCCTGAGGTGAACGTTTCTTTCTTCAAGAGAATCAATCTCGTCTTGTTGACTTTGGAGGGACTCATGGAGCTGCAAGCACACAAAGCAAAATATTTTCTGTAATGTGTTCATCTTTAATAATTATTTTATTTTTTAATGTTGGCATAACTAAGTTTGTGTTTAAATGTGGACAAACAGTTATTTCAAATGCACGTGTAATTTACCTATACGTGTAGGTTTTCCACAAAATCTCCATTGTATACCTTTTAAACCAAACGGGGTTCTGATCAGGATAAGGTCTTGGATGTTATAGCAGGTTTATATAACTAAATAATTAATATAATTATAATTTTTAACAATTATAATTTCACAATTTAGATCCATTATAGTCCAAATTACATCAAACTTCGTATCACCATTTACGGTACATCATTTACATTGTGCAGTAATGCTCCATAAGACCTTACCTGTTTGTTGACTGCTATGCTATGTCCCAGTGCCTTTCCATGACACTCTGCTATCCCTTTCCAGGAATCTCCATCCTGGGCAGGTGGGTTGCCTGTTTCTGCAGATGAGTTAACCAGACTGTCTTCTGGTGAAAGGTTGTGCTGAGGGGTGAGGGGAGGTATAACATATCCTTGATAAGGTACCAGCTCAGCTGAAGACAAACTGCTCTCCAGGGTTGTAGGCGAAGCTGACAGAGAAGACACGAACCCAAGGACTTAGCCAACGTGATTTTGGAGGTGCACGATTTTAACTGTATTCATGTCAATATAAAAGTAACAATAGCGATGAGCAGCACCCCAGCGGTGTGGAAGGTTTAGTTTTCTCACCTGCCATGAAATCCAGCCCATATTCTCCAAAATCCTGGTCATTTGCATCCAATTCCTGTGTGGAAATAAAAATGACGATCAGCATTTATCAGTATTTCATATAAACAATTCGATTTAGAATAACGAAAAAGAAAAACGAAAAGGTGCATAGCAGTTTTACCTGGAAATCCCACCAGGGAAAATCAGGGCAATACGATGTTAAAGCAGAAAATGTATTAGTTGACATTTCAGTCAATATGTTTTCGTGTTGTCGCGTTATGAGCTCACGCTTGTCTGTGTCAGCTCGTGGAAAAAGACTGGACCATTTTCTAGCGTGTGTGTCATGAGTTAAGTACAATGACATTCGTGTAGGATTCCAGCACATCGTGTCAAACATTAACAGAGTGATCCAGACCTGCAGCTCTGCTCACCATCCTACATCTCCATCCGTCGGAAAGGGGTTGATTTACATGGCTACGTTTAAGCTATGCCATTTACGTGGAGATGTGACAAAAACTGATGTCCATTTTTTTTAAAAGAACATTGGTCTTTTTTCTCACCTGACAGCCGAGGGAGTGTCTCTCCTGTCTCATAGAGGGCACACCCTCTTCCAAATCATCCCATGCAATTGTTGAGAAAGCTGCGACAGAAGAAAATAGTGGGACCCCTGAATGCATTTATGCGCTCAAAGTGACTTAAAGGCACTAATCCTGAAATTCACCCATTGTGTCAGGTTGAGCTTACCTTGTTCGATGATACATGGAAACTCAACATACACAGTGACGGGACTGCTGCTTCTTGGCACAAGCACTTTATCCTGTGGGTAGAAAACACTATAAAAGTCTTTCCCACTGCACAGAGAAGCTCTGTGTTTTGTGAATAGGCAAATATTTCAAACCGTTTTGTTTGTGACAGCGTTCGTCCATTTTTGCCTCACTTGGTTGGGACAAATACCATCAAACGTTTTTCCGTCTCTTTGCATCTCGATGAGCTAAGCTCCGTCTGCAGAACTAGGAGGGCATGATTTGATTTAGAGCTGATATACTCGACGTTCTCCCGGTCTGCGTTTCTTCATGCCGCGGTTTCACACTTTCGACCCAATCAAATGCACTTATTTGGTCTCCAGGGAGTAACAGCGTCCTCGGAGATTAAACGGGTGCAGACTAACGGTTTTCTGAAGTGTAACAGTGGTGCCGCGCGTAACGGCGCCATTAGGCTACAGCAGGTGTTCCTTGCCTCAGACCTGCTTTCCTTGAGCATTCAGCTAGTCCCTGTGCCAGATGCTGGCTATGGTTTCTTTTGGACATACTGAAATGTTTAGAAAAATGCCTTAGGCTCTTGTATTGTATGGCGTACATAAACAACAGATGTTGTGCAAGCTGAGCGTCACAAAATAAAGTCGCCAAAATATCTTATTTTATAATTATATATCGTAATAATTATTACATATTTTATGTAATTATAAATAAATCCTCATCAATTTATTTAATAGCATGTTTGCGACCATAACAGTCAGTGCGTAATTTCCATCTTACTGTGCGTAAAATATCTAATTAGCTTAGGTACAATCCTTCTGCTACAGTTAAAGAGCAGGGGAAAAGGAAAAGGGCAATTACAGCCGACAGCTCAGTAAACAGTCGTGACAAATGCCTCTATTAGTAAACAAACAAGAGTACCCTTAACGCTGAATACACCTGTGTGGTCAACACTGTGTCAGCAGGTCGAGCTGCCACGCGTAATGGATTATCAGATAAAGCCCCTCGATTGACCAAACTGGGTTGGCACAATTTGGTTTCACATAATATAGCCAAGGTTAAACAAAAAACGAGGGTAAACGGACTTCCAGACAAACAAGCACAATAGCCCGTGTTGGAGAGCCACAAGAGTCAGTACATTGAAGAAAGTAATGTTACACACAAGGTCTTATCCTCACAT